GGGGGGGGGGGGGGGGGGGGGGGGGGGGGGGGGGGGGGGGGGATAACAGCCGTCCCTGAAGCGGCTCTCATTTTTCGTAACACCTAATGATGGCGATGTGGAGTGCAGCAGTTGCGGTGGCTGCAGCGAGTCACCCGCCTCGTCATACACCAGCGTCTGATGACAGCCGCTTTCCCCCCCCCCCCCCCAACCCACAGCTGAACATGAACTCCGCTCCCACATTCATGCACTTCCCCCCCAAGGGGAAGCCCAGGAGGGCGGACACCTTCGACCTGCAGCGTATCGGCTTTGCCTCCGAGCAGCTGGCCAAGTGGATCGCTGACCGCACCGACGTACAGGTAGGGGGCTCTCCGGAGTAATGGAAGTATCCCCGGGTCGTAAACAAGGGTAGTATTTTCGAGAAAAAGCTGCAGGGTAACACTCAAAGTATTTTGAGAGTAATCGTCACCGGCAGAGTAGCAGACAGTGAAAGTGTTCTGTAGCACAATCCTCCATCATGTGGCAGAACCTGTGACGTCACCCCGCTGGCTGAACCGACACTGCTGGATGTTTTCCAGATGTTGTTTTTTGGTTAGATTTCCCTGCTTTACATGGAAGACTAGAACTCCAGGACTGCAGAACCCACAAAATGTCTCTGCACTTATGCTTGTGAGCCCATGGCGTTAGCGCATGGGTTCTGAGTGTCTGCTTTCTGACCCGGCTCCCTCGGCTGGCAGATCCGTGTCTTCAGGCCCCCCAACTACTCGGGCACCATCGCCCTGGCTCTGTTGGTGTCCCTGGTCGGGGGCCTGCTCTACTTGCGGAGGAACAACCTGGAGTTTATCTACAACAAGACGGGTTGGGCCATGGCAGCACTGGTGAGCCCCTCGGGGCCGTGGGGGGGGGCGAGGGCCTCTGCACAGACAGCATAAGCACTGGCTTTGAAAAGCCCACCCACACTGTTATTCAGTACATGGTGGCGGCACTCCTGGAGGGGTGGGGGGTGTCAAGACTAATCATGTGACCACAGACTGTATCCTGAGGACATGGTAGTTAATTATAACCCTGTCTGGATATGCTACCTAAGCAAAGATCCCTCCTTCCCACCGACACTCCATTTTGAAGTGGTGAAAGAGGCCACACTGTATTTTATAATTACGGGGAAATGAGGTGGAAGGATTCCATGATGGGGGGGGGGGGATTTCCATTTGCTGACAACCCTCCCTTTGTCCCCAGTGCATGTTGGGAGTTTCCCATTGGTTGACAGCCCTCTGCTTTTTACCCGATGCATGACGGGGCATTCCCATTGGTTGATAGCCCTCCCTTTGTCCCCAGTGCGTGGTGTTTGCCATGACCTCGGGTCAGATGTGGAATCATATCCGTGGGCCTCCGTATGCACACAAGAACCCCCAGAACGGACAGGTGGTGAGTGACTCTCCCCTCCGCTCTTTGTGAATTTGCTTCAGGATAATTCCTATCATATCGATGTCAGCTTCATTATAGGTTGTAGGGATATAGGTGATGTGCAAAACAGTAGTACCTCAAATATCCATCAGTTAGAGGGACAAATTGTATTACATATTTAGTAGCTGTATTAGGAATAGGATTTTAAGTAATTTTAATGGAGATGTATCAAAGTGGTGTGTTTATGCCAATACCTATCTTCAGTGTGAAAGTTCAGGTTTTTAATCACTGCACCCCCTGCTGGCCAGTGCCCAGTATTAACAGGGTACTTGACTGGATGGGTGCACCCGTCCTTATCTGTCAACCGATTCGTCAGCATCACCTCCCGGTTGGGGGTGACTCTGCTTTTCATTTTCGAGCCAGAATTGAATTTTTCCCAAGATTTATTCCGCCCTCTGAATGCGGTGATAACTCCGGGCAGCTTGTCCAGCGAGCCGCTCAAGGACACTCTGACGATATTGATCAGCATGTAACTATGCAAGAAAAAAAAAACAGTGACGGGGAAAAAAACTTCACTTTCTTCTACATCAGATTATCTATAAATCACACGCCTATAACAAAGAAACGTGAGAAAAGTGCACCGTGAACTGCGAATTCAGAGGGATGTGGAGTCTATATTGCGTGACATGTCCCTGGAAACATCAGTCGGCTCCTTAATGGTGCTCCGCTGACGATCTGCAGCGGTGGGCCGATTCTCCGGACCCTTTTCGGAGGCCCATCCGCCCAAAATACCGCGCACCTCATGAATAATTCAGCCATGAACATCGATCTCGGAGATGCAGACAGCCCTCTAACAATGCCGGTACTGGAGATTGAAGGCCATTGACATCTGCTCCAGATGGTCGGCAAGGCGTCGAGCACCTCGACAAGCTGGTTAAGTGCGGCCCGCGTCGGCCCAAACCAACCAACGAATGCATAATGAACGACAGCAGAGCAAGTGGATTTATGAGACCGGGAATCTGAGCCCAAACCAACAAAGGAGTGACACATAAAGAACTCAGTCTCTCGTTAATGGCTTAAACAGCGTTGTCCGTGGCCTTATTATCCGTATCATTTTTAAGGACCTTTCTGAGATCATGATCAGGGCCGGGGACGCATGCGTGGTCAGCGGTGTCAGTGTAAACTTCACCTCCTGTGCCGTCCCAGTAGGGGGCAGTGTTCACAAACACTCATTTATTAAATGGGTGACCAGGGACGAATCTGACACATTATTTAAAAGGGGGTCCAGCTCAAGCTGGGAAAGGTGGAATGCAGATAACTGGGGCGAGGGGGCACACAGAGTGACATGTGGGGGTACGGGGGGTGTGTAGCTTTGGAGGACACCTGGCTGCATTTGGGGGATGTGCATCCAGGTGTGAAATTAAAATAAATAAGCAAATAAATAAGCAGAAGCCTCCCAAAGGAAGCAGCGCCTGACAGAGTGACATCCTACGCTCACCCCCCCCCCCACCACCCAAGACTCCTAGCCCCAAAAGTCATCATGTCTCTCATGTTTCCTTTAACAATTAGCCCCCCGGGAGTGGGGGTGGGCAGGATCTCTGGCCGGGTCCGACTGTCATCGTCTGGGCTTCAGATAAGCTTCTCACACTCAGCCACATGACACAGGCTCAGCAGTTTAATCCCTCAACGCTGCCCCGGCACACATTGTAATTACGCGGAGATGACGGCTTCAGCGGCGGCGGAATATTCCGTATGCTTATGGAATCGATCCGGACTTTATCTGTAAAGATCTGTCTGGTGCAACATAACTTTTGAAAACAGTTACTGACATGTTTTGCTGCCTGAGATACTGTATGCGCACAAAATGCTCTTGAAGTGGAAAAGGTGAAGGACTTTTAAACACAGTCGTCCTGCAATCGTGTGATAGGAGGATCCGCAGGCTACACCCATCCCTCTCCGCCCCGTACTCCGCCCTCGGCCGAGAGTGCCGGCACCCACCCGCTCCACGGCAACCGGCCACAATGGCAACACCACAGGGTCATCGGGAACAGCGCGGTGACGCCACGGAGACGGCGTCCGCTGGGATGTCCCAGAAGATCCTACTTTTTAATTGAATCACTGCAGCACACAGTTTTAATGAAATGGAGTTCCGGGGATATAAGCCAGATTATGAGAAACACCGGAAAATGATTGAATGCTGATTAACAGATAATGTATCACGCTGTTGGGGAGGGGGTCTCATCAGAAGTAAGAGTGGGGGCAGGCAGGGGAGTTGGTGGGGGGGGGGGGGGGAGGGAGGGAGGGCCGGAAAGTGGGAGGTCGTGGTGGGGGGTGGGCAAGAGGGAGAAGGAGGGAGGGCAGGTGAGGGGGAGGTTGATGTGAGGAGTGGGCAAGAGGGAGGAGGGAGGGCAGGTGAGGGGGAGGTCAAGGTGGGGGGTGAGCGAGAGGGAGGAGGAGGGGGAGCAGGTCAGAGGGAGGGAGGGAGGGCAGGCGAGGGGGGGGGGGGGTTGAGGTGGGGGGCAGTTCCTGAAGCCTCACTGGCAGGGCTAATGGGCCTCGGCATCCATCCTTATAACAGCGAGGTCACGGGTGTGTCCCCCCCACCCCACCCCACTCGGACTGACACTGTAATGCTGCCGCTGTGGTGAATCAGCCTGAGCAAACGCTGCTCACAGGCTGCTTACAGATTGAGCCCCCTCCCCCCCCCAGCTAATCCAAGTCATCGACAGTTGAACTTCTCGTGACAAATATATCCATTTTGACGTTGCCTTGGGCTCCGGGTTATGAAATATGATATTAACTGTGATGTTTATTTCATTTTTGTCAAAACATACGAGCATTCCCCCAGTTTATTCAGCATTATTAAACATATATTTTGATTCAGGGAGAAGCACAATAACATGGCAAGGCTTTGAAAAATATATTATTTTTGACATTTCACAAAAATACCCCGTCTGTGTTCTGTTTTGGGAGCCTAAGAAGTAGGAATCTGTGTTTTTGAGGCAGTGCTGCATCCTTACATCACGTCACATGACGTTTGGATTCACCGCCTCCTTGCCTGCTTGTTCTCCTGGTTGGTTTAAAAGACTTAACTTTACAAACCTTTAAACGAAGGTATATGGTTTAAACATGAAACAAAGCCACGATTTGCTGCAGTGAAGATGCTTTTGTTTACAGTAATGATCGCATGTAACATTCCTGCTGCCTGTGAGCAGAGCTGCTGTTAGAGATGTTTCACGCGACTCCCCGATGGCAGTTAGGGTGATGGCTGTGGACTGCTGTGTGACATCACCGGCAGACTGTGTCCTCAGTGGCATCATGTGACACTCCTCCACATCGTGGCCACATCTCCCCGGGGCAGACCGCCGCCTGCGTTTCCCCCGCGTCTCCCCGGGGCAGGCCGCCGCCTGTATCCCCCCACGTCACCCTGGGCTAGGGTTTGCATTCCCCCCATGACCCTGGTTCACTCTTTCTTCTGCTCACTGTAATCACCTTTAAGAAGCTGTAATGTGCAGTAATGAAACGATTCGGGCTCGGACCTCCATGCCAGTGCCCTCATATAACATTTGGAGCATTTACCCACACCCCCCACCGCCCCCCCACCCATCCATGCGGGTGTTCTCTGAATAATTCCTGACATTTGAGATGGGAGTGCAGAAACGCGGATATAACAATTAATAGAATAATTGATGATGGTCATACTGCAGCCGCATTAAGATCTGTATGTCCTTCCAGGAGAAAACAGGACTCTCAGATTTTGTGCCACGGAGGACATGAGACAATGGACATGTGACAGGATGTGTGCCATTGGTCGTGTCGGGTGACAGGATGTGTGATGGGATGTGTCACAGAGGACGGGTCACCGAGAACATGTTACAGAGGATGACTGTGTTTAAAAATTCACTACATTTTGGGAACACGGGATATGGGGGACCTGGTCCCCTTCCCCATGCTGTCACCGTGTACCTTTTGGGGGGTGCCTTTCACACCATCTATCTTCAGAGTATCGTCCGAGTTGCCAAACGCACCAAGTGCAAGTCAGCGAGGTGTAACCTTCTCTCTTAGAGAAGGGAGTGAGGCTGCGCATTGCTTATGGTAACAAATTGAAACATACAGTCCAATTTATCAGTTTAATTGGATCCACAGCTTGGACATATTATGTTATTTTTCATCCCGCTAACGATCACGCGATTCACCATTCCGATTTATGTGTTGCAGGAAATGAGTGAGTCTTTGGGAGAGTTGGCCCTCCTCCCCAGGGTCATTGGGGTGCAGGTGGGGAGCATCAGCCTGAATTAACGGGGGTGAAAGTAAGCCAGACCGCTGGAAGCTCCCTTAACAAACCACAGAACCCCGGGGGCAGATTGAGAGTATCAGCAACGTAAACGTTTCACTGGCTATGTCCTGAAGAACCTCCTGGAGTTTATACATCTGCACATTTTGATGAGCCAGCAACCTTCAAGGGGTCTGTGCACCCACCAGCCCGGGCTGAGGAGGAGATCTGTGTCACGACTTGATGAAGCTGGTAGAGCGTCCCCTGAGGTGGCGACGTGGCGTAGTGGGTTGCCAATGGACACAGGCCGGCCGGCAGGCAGGCCAGGTATGACGTGTGTGCAGGGTCTGTCGTTAAAAGCTCATCGAATTCTAATAAGCCCAGTAAAACAGCTCTTTGGCTGTTTGTTCTCATCAGCAGGAGATGCTGTAGAGCCCATGTGAGCCAGGGCGAGAGACCCTGTGGATGCACATGGGTGGGTCTTTATCTGAGGCTGGGAGGACCTGTGAACGAATAAAGTCTTCATCGGGGGCTGGGGGGGCCTGTGGACAGCTCTGGTCTGGTTGTACGTGGCCTTAGCAGTTGGTATGCGGCTCTTCCTCACCGCTCAGTTTGTTAAACCTGTCAGATGCTTATGTGCCACCACATGGGGGAGCGTGGGGTCACGCGCGGAGCCCATCTCTTAAAATAGCAAGTATCTATTCCTTATTTACTTAAACAAACTCAGGCAATCCCAAAGCAGACGTGGTGGTGCTCTGGTGAGCTGACGCCACTGGGGGTCATTTCCACTCCAGCGGCTTTATCGCCCATAAAGCACCAATATCTTGTCCGTAATCTTTGCTGAGATGCTCCTGTCATTGAGGAATATGAATAATTTAAGCAGAACCTTGGTGCCTGTAGTACTGCTCGTGCTATAGCAACGTGGGTGTCTGCAGGCCATGCCGTGAATAACCCCGCCTCCTCACGCCGCGGGCCGTCACGAACACACAGCGCCCCCACATGCATGCTAAAAGCGGATGTGTGACACTTCACAGTGACCCCTGGGCCCCGCAGCCCCTCCCTCACATCGCAGCATATTGAACAGCCGCTTCGTGTTCCTGCCCCTCAGACCGGCTGATTGGCTGCGGCCATGACAGCAAGGGCCCGCTTTCCGGGGTAACCTTCCTGTTTTATTTGGTGCTTTTAATGCTCAGTTATTCACAAAACAGGGTGTGATTGGTGTGGGCTGCCAGGCCTCGCCTTTTATGGGGTACAAGGGCAATCCCTCGCAACTGCAGGGACGTCGTGGATCTTTCCCACTTAAATTCCTGCAGAAGTCTCATTTAGCTCAGCACCATTCTCTCTGTCTCTGTCTGTCTGTCTGTCTGTCTCCCACTACCTCCTTCACTGGCCTCCCTCCTACTTTCTCCCTCTCTCTATCGCTGCTGCTGTCTCTGTCTGCCAGTCTTTGTTTCTGTCTGTCTCTCTCCCTCTGTCTCTCTCTCTATCGCTGCTGCTGTCTCTGTCTGCCAGTCTTTGTTTCTGTCTATCTCTCTCCCTCTGTCTGTCTCTCTCTCTGTATTGCTGCTGCTGTCTCTGTCCCACTGTCTTTCTGTCTCGTTGTGTCTCCCTCTCCTTCCCTCGCTGCCCTTGCCCCTCCTTTCTCCTCTTCTTTATCCTACTCCTCCCCAACCATATCCTGCTCTCTCTCTTTCTCCTGTCCCCCTCCCCCTCTATACTTCACTTTTTCCTCTCTCACCACTTTTTCTCTCGTTCTCTATCCATCTCTCCAGCAGCATTCCGCGTATTTCACTTTATCTCTAGATTCAGTTACAAAACCCCATTTGACTACTGCACCATTTGTCCCAAATTAATACAATTACAGTTATGACGAGCACAGCCGGAGGTGACAGGCCTTTCTTCTCTCTCCTCCACAGAGCTACATCCACGGCAGCAGCCAGGCCCAGTTTGTGGCCGAGTCCCACATCATCCTGCTGCTCAGTATCCTTCCCGCCATCGCCGGCTGCTTGGGTCGTCCCCCTGTCCCAGCCCCGCTGAATGTGTCGGAGTCTTCCTCACTGGGGGCCTCCTGTCACCGTGATGGACAGCTCCCCGAACCAGAACCGCTGTCTCTGTGACGCTGCTTCCACTGATGTATTGTCTTTGTCGGTTCGCGTTCTCACACAGATTTTTTATTTCGCGACAAACTGTGGTGCCAGAAGCTGAGTTTTCTTTTCAGCAGAAGGGAGGCTGCTTGAAATCTGCCCGTATTGCGGTTCCTGGCGAGGATTGTTCCGGAAAGTGCAGCTGCCAGACACCTCAGTGTGTGTAGGATATTTCGAGCAGGTTTTGTAGATTAGCATTGACAGACAGCAGGACAGCTTGGCCACACAGTGATCCCTGGGGTTTGGTGACCAGCTCAGACACGTAACCCTGTCATCATGCTGATGCGACCTGTTCCTGCAGCCTCCATCCAGCAGGGGGGGTGCTTCTGTCCACATGACAATGTGCTGCTTTCCTGGCCCCACTTCATGTGATCATTCCTGCTTCTGTGGTTTGTGGGTACATCTCCTTCAAAGTGCCATTCTGCCCAGACCGTGGCAGATTTAAAGGCTGCTGTCATGTACCACTGCCTGAAGACCAATATTGTAATTGCTTTCTGAAAACTCTGAGCTGTTTTGAACTCAGATAAGTCTTAAAACAGCAGCCGCAAACAAGTTTTCAAGATCTGCAGGAAACACGGTAAGGTATTCCAAGACGTCCTCAAAACAACACGAACATCAGACCTAAAACAGTTACGGTTTTTAGAGTTGTGAGCTGAATTCTTAAAGAGATAAAAAAAATGTGAAATCTTGAGGTCAGCTTCATGGCTGCCTGTATTTCCTTGACAACGAGCACAGATGCTGCCATTACCATGGGGATGGTTCTTCTGAACGAGGCGGCGACCTCCAAAGGGGACGTGGGAAAGAGAAGGAGTGAGTTCTGGGGAACCAAGGCTCTCTGTGCCGCTGTGACTGAGCTCTGGAGTGGCTCCAAACGGGCTCTCGTGCAGCCCGCCAGCCCCGGACACTGTTTTTTCTGAGTTGGAGCCACTCCTTCCTATTGTTCCTTTGTCACAGTAGCGATGCATCGCTATGCGTCGTTAGCGACGGAGAATCACATACAGCTGTACGGATACAAGCCATTTAACGAATGGGATCATAGTGCAGCTCTGAGCGAAAACGGACCAGCAAATTATCATTGGGCTCAGATGGAGGGAGTGATGGATCAGCTATGAATATGGGGGTCCGTCCCCCCAGTGCTTGCGCGGTGTAGAGGCTCTGAAAGGGGATCATCCTGAATAGACAGTGAAGCCCAGTCTGCGTGTGCCCCGTCATGCGGGCAGAGATGTCGGCTTTGTTTCCGTGTCAGTCGCCTCCTGATTCTGTGCTCTGTCACTCGATTTAATGACTTTCTGCCGTTCCCTCTCCGTTTGCACTGTTTAATATGCAAATTGGAGGAATTATGCCTATTATGTAAATGATGTGGTATTTTTGCCTGTTTATTCCGCCGCGATGACAAACTCGGGAGTCGGCTGCTGTTTTTAGCACCTGAAAGTGCAGCGACTGTGGCACCAAGGGGGCTGGTGACCCGGGTTCGAGCCTGGGCCTGACCCCACAGCACAGTGAAGGGCCTCGTAGATCATAGCTGCTTTCTGCTGCTTCTTTGAATGGTAACATTGACACAGAGCCGATTTAATGCTATTATACAAATGCATAACGATGTTTCACGCTATGCATTATGGGAGATGAGTCTGCAGTTTACCAAGACTCATGCTCCAGTCCCACCTTGGGGGGTTTGACAGGCAGGGCATCTCTGTGCGTTATGATGGCATCCTCAGGCCCCTCCCTGCGTGAGGATCAATCCCATCCCCCGGCATCCCTCCGGCTGTCTGGCTGACAGCTTCGTGGCTGCTCTGAGGTGGGCGATGTACAAGAAGGCACCCAGTAAACGGGGCGGCGAAGTCAGGACAGCGAAGTCCAGCTGGTAATTGGGCTTGGCCTTTGCTGGCAGAGAGATGGACAGGCCTGATTAGGGAAAATTAGGCTCTCATGCCGCAGAAGGGGCCTCCCCGTCTCTCCACATCCCACTGTTGTTCATTTGTCTTCTCCTCATTCTTCCTTTTGCTATATAAACCGGACACCTGCCCTCCCGTTTATGAGAATGGATCTGTGTCCCCATCTGTGAATCAGCGCCTCCTCTCTGACCATTTATGGTTTGCTTGCAGTTATCTGTCTGGTCGGTTTGGGCCTGGTGGTCTTCTTCTTCAGCTTCCTGCTCTCCATCTTCAGGTCCAAGTACCATGGATACCCGTACAGGTAAGCTGTCATATACATACGGCATCCAGCTGAGCGCCACTCAGTAGCTTATATATCCGACAGGCGGTGTAACATGACATTCTTTTAGGAGTGTAAGGCTTGTGGTTAAATGTCCCTGTTTCCTGTTTGCAGTTTCCTCATTAAGTAAGCGGGAGGCGCTATCCAGCCATGTCCCATCTACCTGCTGCCTGCGTCACCTGCTTTGGAAGCAGTTTATGTTTGTATTTCAACCGTGTAACGTTATTCAACACCTAATAAACATCTGGCTGACTCCTGTTCCACCATCTTTGTACTACCTTGCGTTTTGATTGGCTGGAATAGTTTATGCGTCTCCCACACACACACCCCTCTGTTTGCCATGCCAGATTTACAGTCTTAGAAATGTAACATCCCCTGTGTAGAAACTCCACCCCCCCCCTTTCTGAAGCAGAGAAGATCCAGGCCTTTGCCTGCTCCGGCGTCCCTGTGCCAGATCCTGGTGCTGTGGGTATTGTGGTTATAGCAGCCTGCCGCTCGGCCTTTCGGCAGCGCCAGGCGCGCCGATGCAATTGGGGGACAGTAGTGCATAGCAGGTGGCGGCTGGTAATGACAGGTGAGCTGAAGGTGATGGACCAAGAGAAGAGGACGGAGCGGCCAGACCCAAAAGTCTGGCCCGGATTGGCAAGATGGGCAGTGGCGCTCCGAGGGCAGAGCCAACGAGCACTGCGCTGTTAACATCAGCCTTTAACAGGTTCTGTAAATGAAGGCCGCTCGCATCAAATTGAGGTTTGTCAGATCGAGGGGTCGGACCATCTGGCGATCCCTCACACTCTGTCGAAAGCCATTATGAGGCTGGTATGTCACTTGTTCCGAGTGACGCGGGAGGCCAATTTTCAGGGATAGTTTCTTTCCGGATTCTGACGTTGTCAGCGATGTTGGTGGGGCTCCTGCAAGGCTGCTGGAGAGCTTCTACGGCATGTGATGCTGGAGATGCATGTGATGATTTATAGGGCGCTCATTTCAGAGCCCTGCTCAGAAGCTCGTTGCTCGGGTTCATTTATTATCCTCCTTAAAAGTGGTTTGTGTTACTGGGAGCTACTCAGTGGAGAGTGTTTATACTAAGACGTAGTTTGTTTAGCTTGCGGAAGGCGAGTGTTCTGCAGGTGCACCAGAAGATTGCAAGTGTCCTACAGACACGGGGGAGGAAAGTGAGGGTCCTGCAGATGCAGCGGGAGAGCAGCCATCATCAGAGGGGAGCCCTGATACTATGTGGGCACCCTTGCACACGCACTACTGTCCGAGAAGAGGAACATCAGCAAAAAGCATAGAAAAAAAGCACAGGGTTAGCAGGTAAACATGCAAGAATTCATAGCATTTACTGCTGCTGGGGTAAGATAGCACTGCCTTGAATAACCGCAAAACAGGAAGAGTAAATAAAAGTTAGCAGGAGACCAACAGATTCTGTAGGGTTGGCTTGACACAAAGTTTTCACAGCAGGCATGGAGCTGCTATCCAATCACAGCGGGCAGGTGAGCTGGCATCCAATCACAGCAGGCATGTGAACTACCATCCAATCACAGCATGCATGTGAGCTGCCATCCAATCACACGCCCTGGCTCTGTCTGCTCTGTACTTGGGCAGTGCTGTATCTCCCTCAGTGGCCCATTGCGATCCAGGGCCAGCTGGACTGGCTCAGGGAGGGAGGCAGGGAGCCGCCAGAGAGCCGCCATGCCAATTAAGGGAAGGGCGACTCAGCAGTATCCTAACGGCCTGATTACCTTCCGAGGCGGCCAGCGACATGCGGCCGTGTTTCTAAGGGGAAATGAGTGCCTGTCCCCCAGAAAGCCAGAGACATGCTCATTACGGCTATAACGGTGACCAGCTCGCTCCTTCAAAAAGCTGAACCTCCAGCACCAACACACAAGAGGCTCAGCCATGATGAGGAGGAAGAGGAAGACCTGCTCTGAGAGCCGCCCTTCAGCAGGCCCTGTTCCATACGTGCAGCACAGAAGTTCTGACTCCATTCTCCTCTATTTTTCGCTCCCTCATTCCTCTCCACCACAGTCCATTTCCTTTGTTTTTCACTTTACCAGGTTGTTCCCTGTCGGTCTTCGCTCTGTTGGGATTCTCCTGAGTCCCACAGCATTTCACTAATGACGCTCAACAGCGTCCCCCACCCAGAGGACGGGACTGACGGCTGGGTCTCCCTGAGGATGATTTGGCTGATGATTTGGCTGCTGAATGGTCATTAGGGTTGTTGTGTTACTGTCCGCTGTTCATTTACAGGCCGCTGTCTCCATGACCCCAACACCTGTTGTCACTCAGCAGGGCTGCCAAGCTCTCGGGGAGAGGGGGGGTGTTCAGGTTGCGTTGAGGGCGTGTCACCTGGGCTTATTAACTTGGATGGACAGACAACTCCCCCAGACAAAGGCACATGAGGACCTAGCCATTTGCTCAGAGTCTCCAGTATTGGCTAATTACCCCCCCCCCCCCCAAATACCACAGCAGCTTCCCGCCTCTGAGGGGATTTTTCCGTGATCCCAGTGTTTGTCAACCTTGTTCCTCCTAATGGGATTTCCAGTTTAATGTTCACTCCCGGCGGCGTCTGGGATGCACTCCCCCTCCCACTCGGATTCCGTTACACAAATGAACAGATTTTAATTAGTGCAGCTGACCCCAAACTGAAAAGCGGCACCTCGGTCTGCCTCAGTAGGCGGAGACAGAGAAACATTCCGGTCATTCCCATCAAACGGCCTTGTAACCAGCACTGAGGACACAGGACGCTCTCTGCCCCGCCCCCCCCCCCATGGACTTATTCTCTGCTACTAAAATGCTATTTATTTTGATCATAAACCCATAAAAATCTGTAACCATAGATACAAATTTAATTTCAGCACGTCTTAAAATGACAATGACAGCTGATATAGAGCAAATCAGAGGAAGGGGATGGTGTGGGACTATGCAGCATCCAGCCACAAGGGGGCACATGTGAGGGCCGCAGGACAAACATCACTTTGGTGGTGTGACCAGCGTATCCTTGACAACGCAGGAATGAATGTGGAACATCCATCTATCAATCCATCCATTCATCTTCTCTCCCCTTATCGCAGTCAGGATCGCAAGAGGGATGCCGGAGCCCCTCCCAGGCAGCACATACACACTGCATAGGGTGCCTGTCCATCACATGGCAAGTGCATTGTGGGTAATTTAGAGACACCACTCAGAGTGACACATAATCGAAATGTTCAGTCTAAATGACTAATTTTTCCTGGTATGATTACTTGTGCTTTTTTCACAAATAAAGTTTACACTTAAAATATTCGTAATTTCACCATTCCCCTTCAGCGGTCTCATGAGCCAAAAAAGGGTAAAGCTGAAGGAAAATAGTCTGGACAGGAACAACGGAAACGTTTCAACAGCCATTGCAACCGCACACAAAGAATCACATGATTGTTCTCATTTGGTGAGGATGCACCCGATGTATCCTTGATATTTGGGGCAGAGCAAGACCAACATATGGAGATTTTTACCATCCTCTGGTCTAGTGATCATAGTATTGGAACTGGTCTTTAGCAATGGAAGATGACGTGAAATGGGTACAGGAGAACACAAGTATGGTCAAGTATGCACATTGA